ATCTCTCTTGAGATATTGTTCATTTCCAATCTCACTCGAGACTATCATATTTGAAAAGAACAGATTTGATCGAACTAAAAATCATTGTCTCTTTATCTTTACCCTATTATTGTTAACACAAGAATGGGCAAAAAAAGCCAACTGTAGACACTCATTTTCGCCAGATGATTTGCTAAATATTTAATTATCATTATTATTATTTAATTATAATCATAATCATAATAATAGTTTTAATTTTTAATTTTATTATTGCAGGCCATTACAACAAGCCCAACTAGGCTAAAATATAATTCAAGGGCCCATCGGCGCAATCCCAAGCCCAAACCTTAGTCCAACAGAGCTAAACCTAGGGTTTGAAACCCCTAGGGTTTCCAACCATCGTTGCTCACACCAGAATCATTCTCGTCTTCACCGTGCCACCACCACTGTTTCGGCCACCCATTCTTGACAATCCCGACAGCCGTTCACCCACCCCGTCATCATCATCTCACATAAACAGCGACAAGCAAAGAAAATCAGAAAATATCCATACCAAACCCATTAAAACATTATACTAAATCAAAATAATATCTGGGTTTTTAATGAGGATTAGGGAAATCATCTTTCCTAATGCCATAGCTATCACTGAATTCTCATCACACAAGCAAAAGGGGGAGAGCTATAAGGGATTCAATTCTGAAAAGAGAGGGATTTTTCATTTTGGGTTTTTGAAAAAAAAAATAGAGAGAACAAAAAAATAAGAGAGAAAGAAATAAAAAAACATAAAGAAAAGAGAAAAAAATATAGAGGAAAAGGAAAACATAAAAAACTAAACTAAAAGGGAGAGTAAAAAACAAATCGGGGGGTTTTCTTTGGGAAAATAGGAAGAAAATGAGAGAATAGTGGTTTACCTTTTGGGTTCGGAGATCACCACCTCGTCGGAATCACAAAAATGCCTAAGGTAGCCTCTAAGTCCCCTTTATTTTCGATGATTTGATGTTTAGAATGGGGTTTTAGGGTCTTTTTTTGTTGGGTTTTGTAGAGAGTGGGTTGTAAGAGAATTTAGGCTCCTCGTCAGAGTCCTCGGCCATGGTGGTCGGCGTGGAAAAGGAAGAAGAAAATAAAGAAAATAAAAAAGAGAATAATATGAGAAAATTGGGAGGGGTGGTCGGACGGCTTAGAAAGAAATGGAGAAGGGCTTTAGCCAAAAATCACATAAAATGGGTATTTAAACCCTCCCAAAACGATACCGTTTTAGCCAAGGGCAACCCGTGTTTTCTGAGTCTTTAGGGGTTAATAACCTGTTACGTCCCTTTGGTTTTGTAACCTCGTGGTTTGGCCATTTGAATAATATTTTGCATCATTTTACTTTGAGCATTTATTCTTCTTGCGTTTATAAGTTAGTCATTATACTTCTTATTGTAATATTTTATTGATATTTGATTCTGGGAAGGACCTTTACAAATATTATATTTTAGTCACCATTTATTATGTTAATATTATGCGATATTTACGCGAAAAGGGTTTGGGGCTTTGGAAGGTTTCGTTTTAGTCACGAAATGCGAGTTTCTGTTTATCATGATTCAGGCCTTTTTTTCACGCATTTATTTTAGTCACCTCAGTTTATATGTTGCTGATTATTTTAAGTTTAGCAAGTAATTTTAAATATTTTTGTCACGGTCACTAAATGAAACTTGCCCTTTTTATGCTATGAATGTTTATTTTATGCTCTATTTCACTCTAGTCCTGCATGTGTTTTGAATCTTTTTATGATTCTAATGTTCCTATTTATGATAATTGTATTTATGTCATCATAATTTATATATCTATATTTATATGTGTGTTATGTTAAGAATATGATATGCTTTTAGTTAGTTGTATTCAAATATATTTTTTATTTATTATATTGCATGCATGTGTTTTTTATACATACTATAAAATATGTATTCATGTTTTTTTACATATGTGTGTATTGATATATGTTTTGTTTATAACATATTTTTATTTCGATATTTATTTACATATATGTATATAAATGAATAATTTGGTGCATATTGGCTTAGGTTTTATTTTAAATTAAATTGTGTGAAACCCTTGTAAGTGACTTCACTTAAATCAAAATAATTTGACTAAGAGAATATTAGTTATTTTGAGATTAGGGGAAATGATTGTCTTAAAGAATAAATAGTTGTCTTAAAGAAACTCTAAATCGGTACCTAATCGATCAATTAGTTGTCTTTGCAATGAATCTTACAAGTTCAAATTTAATTTAATTTAAGAACTCCTCAAATAATATTCTTTGAATTTTATGACGAAAGAAAAATTATTTAATTATTCCCTATCGAGAAGAAATGACCTATAATGCCTTAAAATAGTCGATTCCTACTCCAATTGAAATAAAGAAATATTACAATTTCATTCTAAAGTTCATTATCAATTCCAAATTTAAAATGCATGAATAATAAAAAAATTAAATAAAAAAATTAAAAATTACACATCCTTTTAGAAAGAAGAAGGATGCTCGATTATTTAAAGATGTCGAGATCGGATCTTTTATAAGTTCTAACGATATTTTCTCGATGAATTTAAATAGAAAAACATTTCTTTCTCTCGTTCGCAAATTTTAGGTGTGACAATCTTTTTAGCGTTTCACTTGACGGGACACACTTTCATTTTAAAATTATCAGAAATGACCTTCTATATTTTAAGACATTCACCTCACAATAACCTTAAATTAAAAGGGCATTACTCTTAATCCAATTATTCTGTCAAACGAAGTTATGCACATGAAGGTATCATACATTTTACATGCAAAAATGTTTAGACCTATGTGTGAATAAACATATTTACACAACATTCATTTTTTTAAGAAAACACCAATTCCATTTAATGACGAAGCAGCAAAGCTTACGAAATAACAAGGTATGAATTTGCTATTAATCCACTTACCCAAAACAAGCAAATTCCCCCTTTAAATGGCAGTGTTTTGGAAACAACAAATATTATGTTTTTTTTAAGTTGGCCAAGGGACAAAAATGAATTCATTTAAATCATGTGGGCTCATGAATGAGATTTGCCCCTACAACAACATAATATATGGCTATGTATTACGTAAAACCCTAGAATGAAACATAGCTTTCATTTTACAAAAAGCCTCGGGAAAATTTTAGAATACTAAAGAAGACAGTTTTAATATATATATATATTACAAAATATTTATAATATAATAAATAACGTATCAAAATAAGGTGAATGATACTACAATATATATGTATAATATATAACATATAAAATTTATGGCATGAAAATCCTAAACATTTATGGTATTAACATAATCAAATTAAAAACCAATTAACATGAACGCAATAAAAATATTCTCACCAAATGATTAAAACCAATTGACCAAACAGGTAATGAAGGCTAAAAAAGGAAAGGCCTTGATCGAAAAGTGGTAAATAATTATCTATCACTAGAATTAAGGAATAAATTAAAATGTTCATAAATATTATCGAATAAACTAACCTACCAAAAATGTAAATAGACCGAAAAGGAACGCAAGTAAAAAAGACATGCATTTAAAAAAATTAAAATGAACCGAAAATAAAAGGGCAAAAGTAATAAAGTATTAAAGGGAATAACGTGGATTTGAAATAAGATAATAAAAAGTACAAGGACTATAGTAAAATAATAGAAAGTATGTGAACTAAAATGTAAAATATTATATTAAATTGAGGGCTAAAAATAAAAGCTAAAAATAAAAATAAAACTTTAGGGACCACTTTGTACGTTTAACGCATGAAACAAGCATCAAATCGCAACCAACAGAGATGATAGGGACTAACCCCAAAAATTATCCAATCATAATATGTGATCACATTGAAACCATACTCAGCATAAGGAAGGATCAAATTATAAATATTAATAAACTAAGAGGTCTGAAACATAAATAACCCGTATTTCATGCAATGGTCAAAACAAAAGGACATACAAATTTAAGGACTTCTCACACGAATAAACCAAAATACTAGATTCAACAAATAAAAACATCTCAAACATTTAGGACTATAACGCGAATATAAAGAAAATACAGGGGATCCAAACATAATAATCCATTTCATTTCAGGATCAAAATAGAGAGTTACAAAGAATGAGTGACCAAAACTGAAATTTCCCCCTAAAACACAAAAACACGATGAAAGAGGGCGTGAAACGACGTAGTTTTGGGTTTGATATAATCAAGGCTTAAATCAACTAAGCCTTTTATTTCTTTTTTCTTTGGTTTCTTAATAGAGAGAGAGAATGAGAGTTCAGACTCTCTTAAGCTCCTCTCACTAGAGGAAATGACCGTCGCTGGCCATCACCGTCGATCACCACTGACGGTGGTCAAAAATTCAAAACAAACCCAAAATGTACCCTTTTTTCCTTCTAAACCCTAATATTAGGTTATTTTTAACTCAAACCAACCGCAAATGACTATATCTAGGCTTTTACCTTCTCAAAAACTTGGCTTCCGATAACGTTTGGGATTTTTGGAAACCTATGGGCTTCCCCACGATCAACAAAGCAAGGTAAATCTTCTCTTTTCTCTTTTTTTATTTTCGAAAACTCTTTTTTTTCAAAATTGAAACCCGGGTACCCTTCTTCTTTTTTTCTTCTTCCCCTTCCCCCTTTTTAGTGGTCATCTTCTCCCTGTTTTTCTTTTTTTTCTTTGAACCTCCTTCATCTCCCTATCTTCTTTTTTATTGCATGCTTATATCTCTCCTTTTTCTTGTTTGGTAAGATTTGGTGAAACTAATCTTCGGCATGTGAGAAAAATCGAGACATTTAATGCCCCGGATTTTTTGGTACTAGGTAGATTTAGGCATTTTTTAATATTAGATTTGGTTTGCTAATTTTCCCCTTTTTTTACTATTGATGATGATATAGAGCAGTTGGATAACTTCGATAACAGTGTCATCGATGATGAACATTCTGACGGTGATGGTGGGAAGAGCTCTGTTGCGGCTCCAACATAAGAAGACTATGGAACCTAGGGTTTCAATAAACCCTAATCTTAATGGGCTTAGGCCTTATGTTTGGGTATTGTAATTTAGGCCTGGTTTGGGGGTTGTAATTTGGGCATGGTTGGCCCCTTGAGTTGTAATTGGGCTGCAAAAATAAAATGAAAATAATAATTAGAATAATAATAATAATAATAATAAAATAAAAAATTGGACAAAACGAGTGTTTACAACAGCAAAACAGGTTTTAGTGGTATTTTTTAGTCTATAGTGATGTTTGTGAACCTAAAATGCCACAAAAGGTCTAGTTATATAGCAACATTTGTTCTTCAAAGCTGCTATATGTTGTGATTTATAGTGGCGTTTTTATCCACAAACATCGCTAATTATCCTATCTTTAGTGGCATTTTTTGCCATATATGCCACTAATTCTCTTGTATTTAGTGGCGTTGGTAATACTAAGCGTCGTTATATATTATGATTTGTAGTGGCATTTTTACCACAAATGTCACTATTTGTAAAACGTTGGCATAAGCAGGTTTGATTTGGTTGCTCTTCGTTGAACCCGTAAATTGTTGATCATCATTGTCTTAATGCATAAACTTCCATTAAATTTAATATAATATTATTTTACTTATGAGTTTAAACCTTGGGTCTGATGGCATTATTTAAAGAGTTGGTAATGGCAGTTGTTATTTTGCAGTAACCAGAAGCCTAGTTCTCTCAAGCAACATTCTTTTCGAAGCTAGAGAATATTAAGCAAAGTAATTTATTAAATAAAACAATTTATCATCATTCATCGTACATGATATCTTTCAATAATTTTAAGTTCAAAGCTAACAAACTCATGGGTAAACCTCAATCAGTAAATATTGGGTTCCCACTGAAGGTATTGAAGTGATTCCTACGAGTCAAGACCGCCGCAATTTCAGGGGTAGTTACCACATCACCCAGAGGGATTATTTCCAATTCCCTTTCCATGTGATAAAAGAACATGTCGATGCACAAATGTTAGCTGCAAGTGAATGGATAGCTACACAAAAATAGATTTGGCGCTGTACTTTGTTTAAATTTAAAGGGGAAAAATCTACCATCAGAGTAAGATCATTGTTATAATTCATATCTATAAAAGGAAGGCAACTGGATCTTTTAATAACACTAAGATACTAAAAGAGTTTATAACCTTTTCTATTTTCAATATGTCAAGAACAACCCCATGCTTATCAAATCCCCATAAATGTCTCCTTGTGCGAGAAAACCCAGCGTGAACCTTATCAGCAATGCACAGATCTATAGCTTTATTTATGGTGCTATAAACAGTAGGCAAGTAACCCAAGGCTAATTCTATGATTCCACCAATTCTCTGTTGATGAAAACATGGAATGTTAGGTGATGTACTCTTCACTAGAAATCATATGAAATTTTGATAGAAGAAAATGAAGATTAAATGAGACTTTGAATATTGGTGTTTATTTGTATAGCTTCATAAATGAAACCAGCAATGTTGCCTGAAGTTCCAAACTCGATAAGATCATATTTATGAGTTAGGCATACTTAAGTTGACATATTTTTATTTCATAATTTCAAAACATGGCAATTAATATTAAATAGTAACATAACAAGTTAACTTTATAAGCCACAACATTGGGTTATATGCATTGATCATTTATATACAGCAAAGTGGGTTTATAACGGCATTTTAGCGGCATTTTTTATCAAACACCATAAAAGACTGTTAATTTAGTGGCATTTATATACAAATGCCCCTAAAGACTCTTACTTTAGTGGTGCTTGCATACAAACGCCACTAAAGACTCAGATTTTCGTGGCGTTTATATACAAACACCGTTATAAACTCGTACTTTAGTGGAATTTTTATAAAATCGTTGCTATAGACTCGTACTTTAGTGGAATTTTTATACAAATGCCACTATAGACATATCTTTAGTGGCGTTTTATACAAATACCGTTATAGACTCGTACTTTAGTGGCATTTTTATACAAATACCGCTATAGACTCATACTTTAGTGGTGTTTTTATACAAACACCACAATAGGCATGTACTTTATTTGTGTTTTTGTAATAAATGTTGTAATAGTCATGTACTTTAGTGGCTTTTTTGTAACAAATGACGCAATAATCATGTACCTTAGTGGCGTTTTTATAATGAACGTCATAATAATGCAATCCTTTAATCTATGGGGTTCCAAATCCCTAATTATTTCATTCACATTTTATTAATTTTCCTAACCAACGCCCAACCATCACAGTGAAGTCACCCCCAGGCAACCTTCATCACAAATGCAGCATCACGCTGTCGTTGCCTGTTTCCGGTTACCAACATGTATGTCTCTCTTCTCCTTTGCAATCTGCCATTTTCGTGATCCAAAACCATCCATTTTGGTTCCATTTCCGCAGCAATACTTGTTCTTGAAATACATCAATGTCATCTCCGTTTGGGTGCCATTTTCATATCTGTTTGTTGTTATTGTTGTTTGTTTCTGATTGAACATCCATTGATTGTTGTTTTGCTATTTTGAATATGATTATTTTAGGTTTTCATCTCCGTTTAGCTTTTCATATCTGTTTGTTGTTGTTTTGTTGTTTCATGTACCAGCAAGAGGTGCTATTAAGTAATTTGTTAATACCAATTAGCCTTTTCTTTCCTTTTTTTACTAATTATGATTGAAACTTGTAAGTGCTTGGATGATTTTTCTCTTCTTTTTTTTCTTATATCAAGACATTGAAATAAAATATTTGTACACTTTGTATTCATCAAGTATTTTCTAAACCTCGAAGCATATGTGCCATATTAAGTAATGTGAGGATTGGAATTAAATTGAATTTCTATAGCTTGATCTGATTTATGGGAATATTGATGTCCAACTCCAAATCTCTTTTATTGTTATTAACTTTGTATATTCAGTTCATTAAAATTATATTTTAATAACCTCTGTTTATTTGTCTTTTTTGGAATTATAATAATTTGACATGTAAATATATAATAAATCATGGATTCTTGTTGGTCGTTGGACTATTAAAAATGGTGTGATAGCGTAATTGCGTTCCTATGTGAATATCTAAATATAGAAAAAATGTGACATTTAGATGATGTTGTACAATTTTTTAGGAATCTATCTCAGAGGGAGAACAACTCCGCTTGAAAATCATTTATGTTTTTCTTTAGTTCCCCTTGCATCATACATGTTTAAATATACTAATCGCCCTGTTAGTATTATGCTACAACTTTGTACTGAATTTTGTCAAAGTAAATTAGTTCCTTTAACATTCATGACTTAAATATAATATTCATATTTGAGTAACTTAGTGTTGTTTATAGTGATGTTATATATTTCATTTTCTTATATTTGGTAGATTTTATTATGGATCTTCAATGTACTTGTTTTTGGTGTCTTATAACACCAATAGATCAAGAGAATTAATGTAACTATGGTGCAAAATCACTTGGTGTCACAATATTTTTGTTTATTCTCTGTCAGTGTTAATATTTTACCAAAATATGTTTGTTTTACTGTGTTTTGGGTGGTTTTATGATGGTGTCTTAAAAAGCATGCTTTGATTGTCAAACTTAGGGATTTCTAGCAGAGAAGACCAAGAAGAAACATGGATCGTAAAGGGGTGGTCAGATCAATTTCAATTCGGTGTCACAATATTGTTGTTATTCTCAGTCAGTGTTAATATTTTACCAAAATATGTTCGTTTTACTGTTCTTTGGGTGGTTTTATGATGGTGTCTTAAAAAGCATGCTTCTGATTGTCAAACTTAGGGATTTCTAGCAGAGAAGACCAAGAAGAAACATGGATCATAAAGGGGTGGTCAGATCAATTTCAATTTGCACTCGGCGAAATTCAACTATTTCGATGATTAAGTGGAACTCAATGATAATGTTTGTGATCGTCTATGGAGTCTCCGGTGTTGTTTTGTTAGGGTCAATAGTTCCATAAGCTTGCAATAATATGTATGCTACCATCAATTTTATTTTTAAATGCATGCTTTCTACCAGTTTAAGAACATGGATTGTCAACATTTCTTCTCTTCTAAGAGAATATTAAAGGCACATATAACATTGTTTTCAAGATGTATAACATTATCATTTAAAATAATTATTGAATTGATTATTAGGAACATTTGAGGGATAAAAAGGCGAGTATGAAGCTACAACTTCAAGTCATGGTATTTTTAATGCGGATGACAATGAAAATCAAGTTATTAATGAAGTTTTGGGTCCTAAAATACATGGTCGGGTTCACTGTCAAGATCATTCTTTACTCCAACCAAATATTTTGGATCCAGTTCATCTTAGTACATGTCATCACAGAGTCAGTATTCCCAATTAGATGTTAGTCGATTAAAACAACAGTTGGCTCAAATGGATCAAAAAGTTGATCAAATGAAAGTAAAAAATGAAGCGAGAGAAGCAGCATATCAATAAAAATGTTAAGACTTTGAAAATTAAGTTCAAGTTATGATGCATGTGATACGAAAAAATCAACCCCAGAGTCTATCTTAGGTGTTATTTTAGATATATACTTTGTTTATTCTAGTTAACAATGTTGAACTACATTGTATTTTACATTAATGTAAACTTTGATATATTATTATGGATTTCAAGTTTGTTGTTAGGTAGGGTTGTAAACGAGCCAAGTCGAGCTCGATATTGTTGAGCTCGACTTGAACTCAGAAAGTTTAAAATAGGCTCGACTCAAATCGAAAACTTGCGAGCTAAAAATTATCAAGCTCAGCTCAACTCGAAATATAATATTGAAACTTGACTCGAACTCGAAAAGGCTTGAACTCAAAAAATTTCAAAATCTCGATTGAAGCTCGAGACTCAAGCTTGATTCAAGCTCGAACTCAAACTTGAATTTCAACCTATAAAAATCTTATATTACATTTAAAAATATATAAATAATTTTCCTTTAATCAACCATCACCAATACATTATAATACAAATGTATGAACTATAAAAAATCTAAAAAATAAAAATACAATTACAAGAAATTTAGGATAATTAATATAAGCTTTGCATATTTTGAAACTTCAAATGTATTGAGAGTTTACAAAATATGAAAACACATCTAAATTTATAAAAAGATGACAAATATGACAATATATCCAAATTTATACAAGATGACAATATTTTCTTTACAAAAGATAACAATATCATGATCAAGTTTACAATAAAAAAATTACAGTTGCATGTTAAGTTTACTTAAAAATATGATACAAAAAATGATAGAAACAAGTTAAGCTTACTTACAAAAGATGGTAGCAATATGTCAAGTTTACTTACAAAAGATTGCAACATGTCCAAGTTTACAAAAGATGGTAGTTGCATGTCCAAATTCACCAAAAAAAAATGATAGCAACATGCCCAAGCTTCCATACATAGCAACTATCAAAAAGAATAAAAGACAATAAATAATAATAAATTATTCTATAAAAAAGCATGAAATCATTATAAATATGAAGTAAAAAATATAAGATTAACAAATTCAAATATTAAGCCTTTTAATTAGGTACATTATTGATTCATTCGAAGGTACTGATATAATAGTTTCATTCGGTTATTTCATCATTCTGTAATAATTTAAAAACTCAAATAAGTCTACATATATTTAAAAAAGTAAACAAACTTTTTTATAATAAAATACATTTACCTTATTCTTTCTTTTTACTCCATTAAGGGATCTACACCAATCACATGCACACATCAACATTTGAATTATTTATGGAGCAAGAGAATACCTATAAGGATCTGTTACACGACTTCCAGCACTAAATGTGCCTCAGAAGCCACATTAGTAGTAGGAACTACCAATACGTTTACTTATATCCTAGCTAAAATGTGAAATTTGTTTGACTTCTATTTCCACTAAACACTGATATCAATTTCACATCTTGACTAAATATGCACCCCTCATCAAAATATGAATCAAGTTCAGACTTCATATGCGGTAAAGATGTTTCCCCACTAAAAACGTCTTGTAAAAGCTCATACACACACTAGATGTAACATCACCTCCATGAACATCCGTAGAAAATGCATGTTCTTCACTTTATTCCACATTACAAGATGAAGAATACATCTTCAAATATTCATCAAAAAGTTGATACATGATGCCTTTGACCTTACTAATGTTCTTCCTAGCAAAATGTGATGGAAACATTTTGGGAAATGCAATTTCTATCGCCCTCATTTTCAATGTAGGATCCAATACTGAACATATTACCATTAACAAATTGCATTCACCCCAATACTTGCGAAACCTCTGTTTCATGTTATCAACCATATTCTTAACAAAATCATCAGCAGACTCAAATTTTGAATCCAACAACACTTTAATTCTTTGCACCTCTTCAAGAAACATGTTAGAAGTTAGATATTCAGAGTCTGCTATAATGTTAGTAGTGGCTTTAAACACTTTCAAAATTTCAAGCAGGTTTTCAATTTTTTCCCACTCATCATCATCAAGACAATACTTATAAGAATGATCATGCAAAGCATATCTAGGGAATACCTTTCTAAACTTGATAGCACAATCCAACATGTCATATGTAGATTTCAAACGTGTCTTGCATTCAAGAATAAATTTTCGATCTTGCACATTGTATTGACTAACAAGTTCACCAAATCATTTGAGTCGCGTATCACTTGTATTTAAGAAGTCAACTATGTCATGAACTTTTTCAATGATGCTTTGCACTTGTTGGAGACCATGTTGTACAATAAAGTTAAAAATATGCGCACAACAATGACCATGAAATATTTTTCCACTGCAAAGAAGTCTTCCATTTGTTGCAAAATTGTCCTTTAATATCTAATACAAGAATCATTTGTTGATGCATTATCCACTGAAATTGTGAAAACATATAAAAAGAAACAAATAAAAATCTTTTAGTATTCTATAATCATAACAAAAAGACATATACTACTAATTAATAAGTATGTTAAAATAAAAATAATATAGGAACACTTACTTTCTCTTCAATTTCCCATTCCTTTAAATATGTTAAAATGTAATCAGCAATATTAGCACCTTTTCTTGGAGGGGCAAATGAACAAAGTTGAGTACCCGGTTTTGAAGCTTACAATCAAGATCCACAAAATGAGCGTAAGAACAATGTAATCAATTTTTTATGGCTTAGATTTCCATAAATCCGTAGTCAAGCTAATTCGATCCATTTTTTCAACAAAACTTTTAAGTTTTTCTTCTCAAACCCATAAACTTTGAATGAGTCACTTCTTATAGTAACTCGAGAAAAACTAGTCCATTGTGGCCTTCCTCTTTTCATCATCAAATTAAATCCTTCCTCCTCCACAATACTAAAAGGATGCTCATGCATTGTGATCTAATGAGCCATAGCCTCTCTCATATTCAACATGTCAATTTTACCATCATGTAAAGCACTAACAAATCCAGATTGATTTGTATCGATGATTTAATTAGACGGTAATAAATTAATTAATTGTTGTTGCTTAAAGAATATTGATTTCTTCATGCAAGTATACAAATGTCGTTTCAAATGAGAAGTTCTCTTAGATTTCAAGACAAAAAGAGGATGTTTGCAATACTCACACCGTACTTTACATTGTTTTTCTTGGTCTTTCAAAGGTTTGGAAAGGATTTTCAAACTCAACCTCTTTTGTTGTGGTGTAAACAATAGGTTCAGAAGCTTCTATATTGCACTCTTCTTCTTCATTAAGAACATTATATATCTTATGTTCATCGTCAACATTCACAAAAAAACTCTTCAACTCTTGAAACACCAATGGGTGTTTAATAACTTTATGGTTCACTAGACATATCTGAAAATAAAATGACAATATGTGATCACCATTTTTCATTAACTAGGGCCCAAGTCAAAACTCGATCCAAAATAAACCCAACCCAAATGCTTAAACACCAAACCCCAACCATAACCCAAAACCTAACCCAAATGCCTAAGACATCCAAACCCGACCCTGAACATGAAAACCCAACCCGAGACTAGGCTAGCCCTAGGTAGTCGGCCACTCCCCCAACCAATGGCCACCATTTTCACCCCACTCAGCACTTCCATCCTCTGCCCCAATAACAGCAAAGCTGCCTCAGCACACCACCAAGCCCCAACTCCACACCACCTGTATCAGAAAACAACAAGGAAGAAAACAAAGAACATTATTTTTATTTTCTATAAATTGGGTATAAAACTCGAGCAAGAACAATGTAAAAATCTCTAGGTTTTTCTATGGTCGAAACATTGTAAAAAATAATCAATAAAAGCAGTATTTTAAGGTTACTTTCTTTTCTTTTTATATTTCAAATATTATTCTTTGTTCTCTGATCTTCAGTTTTGAACCTCAATAAATAAATAAAACAATTCTATTTTTAAGTTTTTCAAAAATATACCAACGTTTAGCTTCAGTTTAAAAATAATAATAATAACTGTAGAATTTTTTTTTCCATTTCGAATAACAAATAAAGATAGAGTTTTTTTCTAAAATGAATAACAACCCATCCAAGAAATATTTATAGTAAAAAATACGAGAAAAATTAAAGGGTAACTAGATCAAACTTACCTGGGTCTTCAGATGAGTCACCGGACCCGGGAAAGTCGAACAGTCTTAGCCATTTTCATAATGATTGAGATCGTTTCGTGCAAAATCGAGCCCAGATATATGACGAGGAGCCCGAGACGAGTTTCCTAGTAAATTTGGTGGCCGATGGCGGCCAGCGACGGGCCAATTTTCTAGAGAGAGGGGAGAGCCTCCCTCTCTACCTTTTTTAAAATGGAAAAAATGAAAAATATAAAAAAAAAGTTGAATTTATAGAGGTAAGTTAAGGGAAATTGCACTTAGGTCCCCCTAACTTACACGTGTTTTACAAAATAGTCACTAACAGGGATTGTTTCCATAATTTAACCATTTATATTTATGGTATGTAATTTTTAGG